GAAGAGGGGTAGAAGTCCGTTTAGCAAGCCGCGGTCAAGGAGTGGAGAAGGAGGGTAGTCGTCCCAGAGCGTTATTCGGTACACTGAGGATCAAAATAGAGCAGCTGGTAAGTTTTTGCAGACACCTGTGCAATAATCCAGCCCTTTGAATCTGGCGCGGTCTTCCTATGTAGCGTGGAAGGACCGCGTCAGAAAAAGGGGCGGGGCGAAGCTCCGTGAACCCGGAAGTGGGTTCCTACGGCGAAAAGCACGGCAGGTATAACCTGACACATACATACTGACACATACACAGACATACTGACTGGCACACCGACATACATACAGACATACAAACTGACACACACACAGACATACATACTGACACACACACAGACATACAAACTGACACACACACATCCATACATGCTGACACACACACAGACATACAAACTGACACACACATATGCATACAAACTGACACACAGACAGACATACAAACTGACACACACACATACATACATACTGACACACACACAGACATACAAACTGACACACACACATACATACAAACTGACACACAGACAGACATACAAACTGACACACACATGTACATATATACTGACACACACACAGACATACAAACTGACACACACACATACATACATACTGACACACACACAGACATACATACTGACACACACACAGACATACAAACTGACACACACACAGACATACAAACTGACACACACACAGACATACATACTGACACACACAGACATACAAACTGACACACACACATACATACAAACTGACACACACACAGACATACAAACTGACACACACACAGACATACATACTGACACACACACAGACAGACACTCTTCAGTTTCCTACCTTTGAAAGAGGCTTCCTTCCCTGGGGTCCAGTGTGCTGGCTGGGGTAGTTGGGAGTTGGGGGTCTGGCTCTCCTTGCTCCCCCTCCTCACTGGATGCTGGCTCAGCAGCCTCCCGAGTGGCCCGATGTCTTTGAGGTGGGAGGAAGTGATTCGCGGACGTCACTTCCTCCCCTGCAGCCGTTAAGCAAGGGGCCCGGTCGCGCTGTTAAAGGGCCACAGTGCCGACCGGACCCCTGCTGGAACATGCTCACTGGGTGGAACTAAAGGTATGGGCCACCCGGTGGCAGGCGACGGGGCCCACAGGGCAGCTGCTTTGGGCCCCCCATGAGTAACTGGGCCCAGGGCAGCTGCCCCGCTTGCCCCTCCTTAAAGATGGCCCTGATTCGGTTGCACTTCCTACTCAACTGCTACCACCAAGTTAGTCAGGACATCTCATTTTAGTTTAACTAATTTTGTTACTAACAACTAATAGCTCTTAATACAAAGTAACGCCCAACAATATAGACTTTGTCTATACTACTAATTATATGGGATAATGACCAAGTGACATATAAAATTATTTCATCAAGCCATTGAAGTCTTGCTTTATTCCAAGTCTCAGGTTAAACCCACATTGATGATGTAACATAGCTAAGCTGGGTCTGTCCACAGTCTATGGGCTGCACCTCAATACTAAGTGCCCAACCCATTTTACAACACAAGGAAATGTAACTCACCCTTAAGACGGCTCCGTACCTATTCATGATATTTCTAATGAACTCCTTCTAAATACAATGTCTGGCACTTTAAATTATCTGTTCAAGTGAAATGGAGGTATCCATCTCCTTATTATTTTTCCCTGGCCACCACTTATTCCTCTTCAAATAACCGAGGTTGGTTTTGCCACTGATGGAACCATGTTTTTTTGTTAAGATCCTACTAACCTTTGATACAACTGTCCTGTCTGGAAATTACCCATAGCCATGTTATACTTGACAAACCTTCGTTTTGTTTTAATTATGTTGTATTGTTAAATGCAAAAAAGTGGACGTGAATGCTTCATGTACAATCTTGACTCCGCATCTGTTCTGAAACTATGCCTGACTTATGTGTTGTATTTAACATTCACAATAAAAAAAAAGTGTTTAAAAAATAAATAAAATAAAAACTTAAAAAAATTAAATAAAATATTCATAAAGGGGTCAGGAAGACAATAATTAACATGAGCTATCCCTCCTGCTTGCAGAATTAGCAATATGCAAATCTACCTGAATATGCAAATTAACAAACCTTGCTATTCAGGTAGTGCATATAGCTGTTGCTACCAACAGAGGGTGCTGTAAAGACTCTGCAGCGAAAACCACCTTGTTGGTAGCAAGCACTAGCAAGACTGAAGAGCACACAAAAACATTTAACAATAAACAAATATGTTATAAACACCCTCCTATAATGGACACAAGGTGACTAAAACACAAGAACAATTCTGGAAACTATGAAATTAGTCCTTCTGCTCACAGTGATGGTGACTACTGTATCAGTTTTTAAAAACGTGAGTGTAAAAACTATCACTATTGCACTGATTTATACAATATTATACTATCTTTGTTTTATTTATTTCTTTAACATATTTGTTGGCCACACCAAAAATTATACAGACTATCATCTAGAGATTAATAGTTATAAAGGTAGGTCTGTGCACAAATTAAAAAAACAAACAACTGAATACAAATTATCATTATAATCAAATGGTCAATGATGATCACAGTGGTGCCCCCTTACCTAAAAAGAAGATACATCTCTTTTTGGTAAAACACTACCTTAATAAATAAGCGTAGAACTTTAAATAAAATTAGAACGCTGTTTTCAGAATAAAAGTATAGGAAATGTGTAGAACGTAAAATCCCTCTACCAGCAGACTGTCTGTATCATTGCTTCTATTAAACAATTAAATCAGTTAAACACAAAAAGAAAACATATGATTAAGTGTCGCAGTGTAAACCTGTAAACAAATTTTGAAAATCACAGTGCAATTTTAAAGTGCAACTCGTGGATAAAATAATTTGTCACTATAACAATATTAATAGTGCTGCAACCATTTAAAGATCTTTGACCAATAAAATCCCAATAAAAAAAAATATATATATATATATAAAAAATAGTGCACAAAAAATTGGATATCCAAAATGTACATATAACAATGGCATGCAAAAAAAGGGGTAACCTTATTGATGAGTGTGCATTTAAAAGATTGTATTTACTGCGCTTATATACCTGCTATGGTAATATTGCATTAGGTGTTTGTATATATTTCTATTTAAAAGATCCCGAAATCCTATTAAAGTTTAAGCAAGTGTATTTAACACAAGTTATATGTATTTTTAAAAAATATATATTTTTATTATTTTTTATACGGTAACGTGTTTTATATAAGGTTGTACGTTTTTTGTATACCACTTGGTATATACATTTTGGATATACAATTTTTTGTGCATAATTTTTTAGTATTTTGTTTTTTTAAAACAATGTGATCAGGAAGACAGTGCAAATAGTGGCAAGCATGATTTGTCTAACTTGTCACAAATAGCAAATAGGTGTGATGTGGTAGGAACTAAATACAACAGAGATAAGCAAGGATAGTCAATGTGTAATGCGTAACAGATTGTGTGGCTCCCAAGGAATGCATTAAAAAGAGCAGTAACAAAAGAAGCATTATTAAAGGGGCACTATAGTCACCAGGACAACTACAGCTTATTGTAGTTGGTATGGTGTCTATAGCATGCCCCTGCAAGGTTTTTAATGTAAACATTGCCTTTTCAGACAACTCAGGCAGCCACTAGAAGTGTTTCCTAGTCTAGTCCTGCACAGTTCTCCATAGAAATGCATTGATTAAATGCATCTCTATGAGGAGATGCTGATTGGTGCAGCCAGGGCAGACGCTACCATTAGGCGAATAAGGCATTCGCCTGGGGTGCCGGCCTCTGGGGGGCACCTACGGGGAGGTTTCCTGGTGGGCTGCCCTGCTGCTGTCTGGGGATGCTGTGCTGGGGGAGCGGCTCCTTAGCCACCCCCCAACGCAGCCATTCACCTGCTGGGCTCTCTCTGCCTCCGATTACCTGCTCAGGGAGCAGGGTATGCTGTAACCCCAGCACCCGAGCAGAGCACTCTGCTTCCTTCAGGCAGAAGGGGTGGGGGCCAGTGGGAGGACATTAGGTCCCCCCCTTATTCTAATTTAGGGCCCCCCCACCGCTCAGGGGTGGGGGCCAGGGGGGAGGACAGTAGGTCCCCACCTTATTAGTCCCGAAGTGCTGAAGTCCCGAAGTTGCCAAAGTTCCGAAGTGTCGAATTGCGAAGTCCCGAATTGCGGATGTCTGGAATTTCGGAATGCCGAACCAAACCGAAAATTTTCCCCATGCACATGCCTATTTTTTTCCCCTTTTTTGGGGGCTGAAGAAAAGATATAGAAGAAGATATATTCTAGGAAGTATGATTTTTTTTTTCTCTACAGGTATTAGCTTTATTACTCCCTCTCACTATTATTAGTGTGAAAGGTAAGTCGATTCTTTAATTTGGATGCAGTGGTGGCTAGGGGCTTAAGAAACCCTATCCAACAGGGGGAGGGGATTGGACAGATCACTTGTGATATATTTTTGAGAGGAGTTGGACAAAGGTATCTGCCATGGGTTTGGGATGAGTGGGACACTAGGACCCTTCCTTATATTATAAATCGACCACCTAATTGCCACCTATGGGTGGTGCCTGAGATGGATAGTAGGTCCTCACATTTAATAATAAGTAGCCCACCCGTTGAGTTGTTAGGATGGCCTAACCAGTTGGCCACAGGTGAGGGAAGCGGGATGGACAGAAAGGACACAGTATGACAAGCATTTCTGCTTTTTGTGCTGGGGGCCAGTAGCAATTCTTGTGCAAAAAGTCTGTCTCTTGTCAGCACGTCCTGTGCACTGGCGACAGATGTAATCACCTTCTTCACTAACAGGCAGCGCTGACACCATGTCTGCAATTTGAACCCCTCTCTCCCTCCCCTTCACATTATTAAACTAAACACTCCCTCTGTTCTCCTCACTTTTTATGAATTTGAGCCCTTCCTCCTTCCCTTACCATAGGAAATTCATCCTTCCTTCTGTTCTGCCCTACCTCCTTGCTCTGCAGGGTCGACTCACTGGCCGCGAGGATCATCTGACTGCCAATGAGCATTGCCCTTCATGGCCAAGCTTAGCTCAGCAGTTTCTAGCAGAAAGGGAAGTGGTGTTGGGCACCTGGCAGAACCCAAGTAAATTGTCAAACCATTTTTAGATGAATTAACTTCTTATTCTTTTCAATTGCCACTGCACTCCTGGTACCATAACCACTACAACAGGCTTTTTTTTCTACACTAGTTTCCCAAGAGCATCTGTTCATAAGTAGACTTTTGTATCATTAGTGTGAAAATATTACACCTGAATAACTTAACCTTATGTTGAGTTTATATCACTGCATTGCTGTATTACCTTCGGAAGCCTTATGTTAATATTCAGAATGTCAGTGTGACATTTTTGATTACTGAATACAACTTTTTTGTCTAATTTTCTATTACAAAAGACGTGCATAATGTTTAGACAAGTGAAAGGTTAAAGGCAGGCACACACAGTACTCAGGTTACACCTGTTCGTATCCTCCCCACTAGGATACACAGACTTGGTGTGACGGTATTTGCTAAACAGCTGCCAGAATATAACAGTGTCTCCACAATGGCTTTCCCAAGCAGCCTCTCCTCTGTGCTGCTGTTGGCTCTCGTGACTTTCCAAGTATCTTTACAAGCAGGTAATAAGAGTTTTCTTTACGTTTGGTATTAGATTGCCTGTTCTGCCTACAAGATACTTTACGTTATATTGTATTGATCACTTTTTACATAAGTTAACAAGTACCTAGTGCCCAGTATGTACTCTTTTTTTCTTGGACTGCATGGGTCTCACCTCTCATCGAAACAAAGTTATTTTGCCACGTAGCTTTGTATAGCCTTATTTGTAAATTTACTTCTACCACTATCCACCCTCACTGATGCTCACACAAACAAATACATGCAATTAGCCATATTCACATACATACATAACTAGCCACTCACACAAATACATAATATGTCACATACCCCAACCTAATTAGTAACATGCTGACGCAAACACAGACACACAACAATGTATACACAGACAACGATTAACATGAATATATAGACACATTAAAACACATAGAGACTTACACTTATACTGACAGTCAGACACACTCATACGCAAAGTCAAACTAACACATATTCAAAATCACACACTGACACAAATAAACAATAACACTCTCACTGATAGACACGTGTACTTTAAAACTCACTCATGCAGACTCACACAGACACTCACACTTATTTTAATCTCCTTTCTTCCTAATTTATACAAATATGTACAATTTTATTTAGCACAAGAACACTGTACCTTTGTTTACAAAGACTGATTTCTAAACACATGTATGTAGTTTAAAGACACATTGCTGTGAGTATTATTGCTGTGGAGTTCTGTTTTATGCTCAGACGCACCATCTGTTATATACTCAGACATCAAGAATAGAATTAGGATAGAAAAGAGAGACAATGGGATTTGGGCCCAAAATAGGGACTGTCCCTCCTAAATAGCGCCACTTGGGAAATATGGTTCAACTACTTATATTGAAGGTGTGCTAGGGCTACTCCTTGCATCATAACCACAACAGTAGTAGTTATAGTGCTTGCTGTATACCTTTAAATTAACAAGTGTGATATAACATAAGTGTGTTATATAGTAGTATTAATTAAGTGTGTTATATAGTAGCCATCTAATTCCCACAAAACAGAATAGAAATCCTAATCTGTACTACTTTAACAAATGGGTGTTAAAAATAAAGTTTTGCTTAAACTGTCTGCTTGCCAAAAAATGCAAGATACAGTCCACTTCTAGTTTTTGTGTCAGATCTCTAGACGCTGTGACAAACAATATCACCATCACTTTCATTTCAGAAAAAAGCTCTCAACACGGTGTGTTTAAAGTCGCATTAGTCTTCTTTGTAACTTAGCTGGGTCCAGAAACATAGTAAGCAATGGTTTATTTACTTAACCCCTTAAGGAACAAGACTGTTTTGAGAAGCAACGTGCTTATGATCAAGGCGTTTTTGGCACTCTTGCCATGTTTTCATTCTATTATAATTTCACCATTTCTATTCAAGTGCATGTATGTATGTATGCATGTTTGTTTGGGTTTTTTAAGGGAGAACTTGAGCTTTTTGTGCACATAAAACATTATTTAATATGAATAGAACAGTAGAAAATACACCAAATTTTTCTCAGTTTTACATGTAATAATTTCTACACAGCTAGTGCAACTAAAAAAAACAACAACCTCAAAATAGATTCACTAACTCGTCCTAATTGTTAAAATGCCTGATATGATTATGATTTAAATTAAAGCAACATTATGTTGTTATGAATACAAAGCTGTAATCCTAACACTATGGTGTCCCTCTGGTCCCGCACCCCCACTGCAACAGCAATTAAAGGGTTAAAGAAACAAAACAAACCTTTTTTCCACTTACCTTATTCCAAGGCTAGGGCCCCTCGGCACTGATTCCATCTCCGCATCTTCTGACATCATCACAAGGGGAATCTAGTGCTTGCCGCGCAGCAGTTGCCTTTCCCATAGGAATTAATTGACTCAATACTTTCCTATAAGGATTTTGAAGACATTGGATGTCCTCATGCAAGCATGAGGATGTCCAGTGTCGTTTCACGGAGTTAAACTCCTGAAACAGCAGGAAGTGCCTATAGTGGCTTTCTAATAGACAGCCAATAGAGGCAGTCTTAACATTATTGCAGTTTCCCTACAATTGCAATGTTTTACATTCCAGGGTAAAGTGCAATAGGGACACTGAACCTGGACCACTTCACTGAAATGAAGTCCCCTGGGTGCCTATAGTGCCCCTTTAATTTTTGCGAAGTTCTAAAATGAGGACTAAATTATGGCTTTAAAGAAAAAGATTTGCAAAATTGGCATGCTGAGATTAGTATATTTGTAATAGTTACAAAATCCAAAACCGCTACTCAAAAGTTATATAATTGTACAAAATACATCGCCCAGGTTATGTAACCAATAGCATTTTCACACTTTTCATTTAAAACCTTTTTTATATTTTGCTACATTGTATGACAACTTTTTACTCTAATACTACCCCTAATCTTGCCCCTAATCATACCCATAATCTAACAAATAACCCTACCCCTAATCTAATTTATAATCCAACAACCAATTCAACCGTAATCCTGCCCTTTAATCCCACCTCCTAAACCCACAGAGAGATTCCCTCTGCTGCCTGTTGACAAGAGTACTGATTTTTCTCTGACCCTGGGACCAAACTCTGAATCACGTTGGCTGAGTGTGGTCGCTTAGCCGGGTGTCAGACTTCGGCTGCTAATTATCTTTACATTATCTTTTTGTACCTTACTTCTCACCAGGGGCACATCCATCTTAAAATGGCTCCTTCACTTTTTGAGGTCTTTGCATATTTTAACTTACCTGTACCTGTCCCTCATGGTTGCTGCCATCATCTTCTGCAGGGTCCTCTTCAGTTTGACGCTGATGTCAATGAAGGAACCTACCAGATTGCAGGATCCTCCATAGAAACAACCTTTTTCCCCCCTGAACCATTACTAGTGACAGCTAAGGGCTTGACAAGGTTTGAGAAAAGGTAACTCTGCCTCTTGTCAAATTTGTCACGTGTGGGGAAAATACTAAGACAATGTAGTCCCTACTTTCTGTGAACTTCCAGCAGTCTTCTATGAGCATTTCATAAAGATTTTATCTTTATAACAGAAATGTCTTGTGATGATGGATAGGAGCCCTTGCATGACTGCTGTATCACTCTTTCACACACTGCACATGGTGTTAAACTGAAAGGAATGTACCTTGTTGGGTTGTCACTGGTTGATTGGAAATCACTATTTTTTATTTTTTTTACCTACACCATTACTAGCAAAGTAGGGCCAGGGGCCAAGTCTGAGTCTCAGGGAGACTCCTTGCTCCCAGCTTATACGGTGGGGAAAAGAGTTAACACTTTGAACACATCTCTATTTTTTTTATATGAGGTTCACTGTTCTATTTAATTATATTACTGTGGCAGAGAGGAGAGATTAAACCATAAACAGTGTTCTTTTTTTTATTGGACAGGTATTTCCTGCCATGTACCATTAGAAATAATGTAGTGGTTTTGATGCATAAATGCTGTATCTTTTCTCTGTCTGGCACCCATTTGAGTCACTTCCTCCTTTAAGACCTTTGATTTTCAATGGTTTTAAGATTTGATGTGGCCAAAATAGTTAAGACGTGGCCAAAATATCAAAAACCGTAACAACGGCACATTGTCCAAAATCTGTAACTCTGAACTGCCAGCTGTGACATCAGAAGAAGGGGTACCGTATGGAGAAGAAGCCGTATTTTTTGGGTGGTAGGAGGGCATGGGCAATATGCAGTTGAGTTTGCTATGATGGACAAGAGGTCTACCCAATGATGTGGGTTGTATCTTCTGTCCAATCAAGAGGTGGAGAAAAAGATCATTTAATTCACAGATCAGTGAAGTGACCAATAGAGAGGAGCAATAAAATAATTAAAATTTTTAAGCTTTTTTAGATCTCTCTACTTCAGTTATTGAGGGAGACAAATCAGTGGACATGGATTGCCAGCCTGGTTTTATCCTTGTTCCTGTTTGGGAGTGAGAGATATAGCCTGTGGCATTGATCCGCATCCGAATGTGAGACTGATTAGGTTACTGATTTGTTATCCACTGCCACCTACAACAACTTTGAGTGGAAGATAACCTGAGTCATTGATCCTAGTGTGAGACTGGTTAGGTTGAGGTCACTTACATCAATTTTGAATCACTAATTTAGAATATGGCACGTTCTTTTTTTTTTTTTTAACCGTTTGTAGTAAGAATTTTTGAAAAAGAAAGTTCGTCTTCATGAGCTACTGTCTGTGTCACTTACCAAGTTTGAGCGGGAGATAGTCTGGGTCAATGCTCCTAGTGTGAGCCTGATTATGTTACTGATGTGCCTCGCACCAGACAGTGACACTTATAGTAACTTTGAGTGGAAGATAGCCTTTTAATTGCTCCTGGTGTGAAACTGATTATGTTACTGATGTGCCTTGCCTATGACAGTGACACTTATACCAACTTTGAGTGGGAGATAGTCTTTTAATTGCTCCTGGTGTGAAACTGATTATGTTACTGATGTGCCTTGCCTATGACAGTGACACTTATACCAACTTTGAGTGGGAGATAGCCTTTTTAACTGATCCTATTGTGAGACTGGTTAGGTTACTGCTTTGCCTGGTCACTACCAGTGCCACACTTAAATCATGTTTGCATCACTTAATTATTTTATTGATTTGTGTTGTTTTTTTTTTAAATTTATTTATTCAGATTATTTGATACAGATTATTTGATTTTGTAAACTGACACAAATTGCACTGCAATTTGCAAAGCACAAGTGAACATTGCACTGCATATGGTAGGTCGTTTTATTTTTTGATGGTAGGTCTTTTTTTTAAAAATCGTTTTAGAAATATTTTTTTTTATCCATTGTGTGCTATGTGAGTGTGTTAGCACTTTGTAGTGTTCTGTGTGCTATGCACAGTGTAATGTTTTCTACCACTCCACACATATAAGGAACTTCAGCTTGTTGAAGTGCTCTTTGTTTAAGAAGTATCCTAATTTAATTGTACTTTATAAAAACACCTATTCCCCCTCCTCTTCCACTGAGCTAATGGAGGTAAATGTGAGCCTGTGACAACCTTTATTGAAGAGTTTGAGCAGAGTACCGAAGTAGTGTCCTCAGTGTCTGGTCTTGGTGTAGGTGGTGATAATTGTAGTAATGATGTTGCTCTTCTTTACCACCACTGCAGGCATAGATAGACTATGAGGAGAGTCTTGAGAGGACAGGCAGCTAGTGTGCCCTCTTCTGCATTTTCCCCTTGTCTAAGCCCATTTCTATCTGCCTTTGAATTGCCACATAAGAAAGAGACAGTTGTAACATCATTTGCTACTTGTACCACAAGTAGCTCACCAACTGTCATTCTTAGTTTCACCACCACTCCCACCACTATTTCAATTAGCATTAGTCACCCAAGTGCTAGTGTAGAGGCTAGTGTTACAACAGTTTCCACTACCAGTGATACAAATCCATCCGCATATTCAGCAGCCACAAGGCGCTATTGTATTGTGCTGAGAGAAAGTTTGGTATCACTATGAGTGCTTCCAAAAAGCCTGACTTGCAAAGTGAGTACTAGGGAAGAGTGACGGCTCATGAATCTACATCTGCAAAGGCACCACAAGTATGGATTATTGAGGGAAAAAAGCAGGACATGTTAAAATACTAGGGCAGACAAAATGTCCATGGCTATTATATTTGATTGAGCACTACCACCTGCCACCAGCGGTACCTCCTCCATTGCTATGACGCTTAGGCAGAGCAGGGGGATGTTGAGGATAGTGTCAGTAGTCAACATGTACAGTTGAGCTCCTCAGCATCCCAGCAATGTGTTCACGAACCCACTTATTTTGTTGCATTTCATTCCAAGGGCCAGTCAAAATAGCAAGCTAAAAATTTATTTTAAAATCACCCACCTTATTGCTGTAGAGGAAGCTTATTTTTGATGACAGAAGGGAAGCACCTCAAGCTGTTAATACATACCCTTGCTGTGCAATAAATCATTCTTTCTCGATCCACTTTCATCTGGAACATAGTCCCGTCACTGTACCGTTCCTGCATTGTAGTATTGAAGGAGCAGCAGGCCAAGGCTAAAAGTCAGTCGGTGCACCTCACCACAGATTTATTGAGTGCTTTTGTGGCCTGAATGTATTCCTTTCCATAATTGCACACTGGTGGCAGCCTATGGAGCTTTACATGGTGGTGATAGTAGAGAAGTTACAACCTTTGCATCATGGAAGGCTGGGAGTGGATCTGTACGGCAACAGGGCTGTCCAACAAAAAGCATACTTCAGAAAGCAGGCACCAATGTGCATGCTGGATTCGTGGTCACCAACAAAGCTACTAGCATGATTAAAGCTCTGCAAGATGATTTCTTTGTACATATGCACTGTTCTGCACACATCCTACATATTCTATTGAAGGCTTCAGTTGCCAAACGCAACACTACGGTGGCAACCATACTTGGCTTTCCACTGTAGTGTGAATACTAGCCAATTCTTGAGGTAAGAGCAAGAGAAAACAGGGCTGCCCACAAACTGTCTTTGCCAGGACGTCACCACTGTAGTGTGAGGAATGGACAGTAATGAGGCAGCTAGTATCAGTTCTTAAACCATTTAGGGATATGACAGAAAATTTGAGCCATTGTAACACCATTTTGGGACAGGTCATCCGCTTGTTTACCCATTTTATAAATAAGATGTATACAATTCTGGAAAATTCATGACAACACACTCCACAACGATGTGTCAGAAGTGGTCAAATGGCTGCAAGATGTACTCAAAGCATGTCTTCACAAGCAAGTTGCTAATTTCCATAAACTGACCCTAGCTTCCCTAGAAGGTAGGGGGAAAATTGCTCCTTGATCCAAGAGCCTGACATAGAGGGACACAATTATTGATATGGTCCGTGATTTTCAGCAAAACAGAGGCATGCTGGACAAAGAGGATTTCCGTATTGAACCTAACATGTTATTATCAGCAGCAGCACAACCCCAACATAGCAGAGTGGAGCAACTGCATTTTGAGCAGAGGCTCTTGACAGTTTAGTGCGTACTAATGAAGCACCAGGCAGCCAAAATTATAGTAATGCCTTTGAAATGGTCAGACCTCTCCTTTATGAATCTCCTTTGCCTCCTACTGATGACCCTCTGAGCTACTGGGATAGGAAGAAGAGTGTGTGGCCTGTCCTCTGTCTGGTCATTTCAACAGCAACTATTGGCATGACCACTGTCCAAAGTGAGCAAATGTTTGCTGTTACAGCGAACATTCTTAATCCACAATGCTCACAAATGTCCCTGCAATTGATGGAGCAAATAGCTTTTGTCAAGTTCAATTTTCCCAAGCAGGGTTACCCACTATTGTCAATTTAATACATAAGGTGCAATCATCTGCTAGCTGAGATCCAATTGGCCACCCCCTTTACTTTTAAAGTTGTTTCAAAATTTGCAAAAACATTCTAAAATCTGTTGGTGAATACAAAAATGTAACTGAGTGAAGGACAATTACTCACGCTACAGATTGGATGTGTGGGAAAGGAGTTAATTACCGACAGAATTTTTATTTTTTGAAAAATCCCCTTTTTTTAACTTGAAATAATTCCTGCTGATATTACTCTCTGTTTTTAATTAATACAAGACTGCAAAATGAAAAACAATCAATTATTATAAAAACAAGTTATTTCACCTTTTTCTTATCCAGATATGGATTAATCAAACCAGGTAGAGGACAATAACATATCTGTAATGTAAATGTTCTTTTATATTCACACTTTAGTATGACTCACTATTAAACTGGTAAATTTACAGAAAGCTCATGTATTCTAATATATAAATAATTTTGTGGCAAGGAATTCCTTCTTTCAAACGAATAATTTACTTGCAACTGCTATGTGGCACATATGACTCATAAGTCAAGGTGATGCAATCTCTGTCTACTTTGAGAGATGGTAATCTAGATACATAATATAAAGAAAGTCACTAAATCCCAGTAAAAACAATAAATATTATACCTTACGGCAACGTCTGCTACCCACCAACAGATTAAAATGTAAACTATATCAAATACAGCTACATAATGCAAACAAAATATATGTGGAAGGAAAAAAATGGAACCATTCACAATTTAATGAGCTACATTTGGGTATAAAGTGCATAAACATGACTCACCCTGGGCTCAACAGAATAGCAGTCTCTAAATGGCAAAGAAATCAACCAGTAGCAAATATATCTAAAAATAATTAATAAATACTGTCTCCTGAGGGCATGACAGCACTCCCTCTCCTGCCAATCACTCCATGTAGTGTGGCCTTATGGATCACAGGAGAGGATCTTCTGTACAGGATGTGCTCACTGGGAGCAACAAACAGCTTCCTGTCAGACTGGGTAGAGAATACAGAAGATCCTCTACCGTGATCCATACGGCCACAATGCAAAGGGGAAATAAAGATGGGAAAGGAGGGTAGACACCAGAAAGAGGAGGTGAATGGAAGATACCACAATGGGATAGGGGTAGAGGAACAGACACACAGAGGGGCTGGCGGAGAAGAGACACAAAGAGGAAGGGGGGGGGGAGACACACAGAGGAGCTAGGGGAAGTGACACACAGAAAGGTGCTGGGGAAGAGACATACAGAGGGCTGTTGGGAGTAAAAAGAGAAACTAATAGAAGGGCTTACAGAAGAAGCAAAAAGAGGGGAAGGGGAGAAAGATAAACATAAAGGGGCTATGGGAGAGACATACAGATGGGTGGGGGAGAAGAAACTAGGGTCAGGGGGAGTCAGTAATAAGTGATGGAAATGGGAAAAAGAGACACAGGAGGCGATAGAAGGGGGATGACACACAGAGAATCACAGAGGGGCTGGGGGGCAGAGACAAGGTGCTTGGGGAGAAGAAAGATACTCAGAAAGTGGGGGAGAAATACACAGAGGGGCTAGGGTATTGGAAAAAAAGAGAAGCACAGAGGGGCTGGGGGGCTGTAAAGAGATGTACAAAGAAAAGGGCTGGGGAAAAAAAGTCACACAGAGAGGCTGGGGAAGGGAAAAAAGAGAAACATAGAGGGACTGGCAGTAAAAGACACACAAAAGGGGCTATAAAGAGAAAGATATACACACAACGGAGCTGTGAGGAGCAAATGACACACATGGACTGGGGGAGTAAGAGAAACACAAATGGGCTGGGGGACATAAGAGACACACAAGGGGGGTTGTAATAGAAACTAGGGGGTGTAAGACTCACCAAGGGATAAAATGGGGCATAAGATACACTAAGGGGAAGTGTAAGACAAGAATGGGGAATAAGATACACTAAAGGTAGTAAGACATTAAACAGAGAGGAATAGAAACACAAAAGGGGTTAAGAAATTCAAAAGGGAGTCGGAGACACACAGGCAATAAATGTGTGGGGGGGTTTTTGGGGGCAAATACTTGCCAAAAGTACTTGCACCAGCCCTGGTAAAATATACATACAATATTAAAACATGTGTGTCAGGTTTCAGTAAAAGACTATAAACTTGCATCACAAAGAAAACAGTGCAATTTACCCATGATCATCCACCCCACAAATGTAAAGTAACGATAAAGCATACACTATGCGTTTTGACAAATTTCAATAGAAATTGAGAAATATAACGTTTATAAATTAAAATGTCAATCCTACATAATCCGACATAATTAAATGCATGCAAATTTCTTTTATTTATTTTTTTATTTTGGCAGTGGAGTGTTTATTGGCAATCTAATACTGCATTTGTAATTGTAGTTCAGTTAAATTATTTTATGTGTTGTCTAAAATACTGTGTATTGTTTGAACCTGGCACTACAAAAGATAATTGCTTCACAGTCATTTTGTGTTGATTATCATATTCACATCTAGCATAACCTTGCAGAGGATCGAAGAGTAGTCTTTACAAATGAAATTTTCAGGGTATCGTTTTTCAGAGCACGTATATTTTCTCAGGGAATATGATATCCCTTGGCAATCCAAATGTCTGTTCACACCATCATACCTGTCTCATTCTTTCAATACCGCATAAGCCATATCTTGTTAAATTGAGGGGTTTTTTTTACATCTTTTAGCTGGAAGTGTTAAAGCAGGAAAACAGGTTGTTAAAATACGACAAAGATGATAAAATACCCCACATAACAGCTGTAGAAATTATGTGAGACTTGTCTTGAAAATGTAACTAACGAAATGTGTGTTATTGATAGTGCTTTACACTCTTTCTATGCAATGGGAAGTTCAGTTATGGTAGAAAACTATTAACTCAAGCCATAGTGGTTGACTGAACAGAAACTATAAGGATGGAGGTGTCCCCTTCTGCCTTTTAAGGTATTATATGGATGATGCTTTAAAGATGACCAAATCAAAAACAAAAGTAAAAAATTCCCACTTTTAGTAGGAACACTATAGTTACCAGAACAGCTACAGCTTTAATGTAGTTGTTCTGGTAGGTAAAGTGATTTACTGCAGGCATTGTAATGTAAACACTGCCTTTTCAGAGATTTGTATTTACTTGGGTCTGTGCTCAGGGTCCCAGAACAGCTGTTTTTTTTTTTTACTTCCTCCTCTCACTTTGGGGTCCCCCCCCCTTTTCTATTCCTTTCTAGTTCCTGGTTTATGACTTTGCTTGCGGGGGTGCTTGGGTCTTAACGTTTCTGTCTCCCATCTGTGGCTAGCTCCACCTCGGCAGGGGACCCCGATCGCGCAGTCATTGGCGTTTCAGAGGTCTGTGACCAATGCCATTATGGCCACGATGGGCACTATGTCCTCGGCCTTGTCCCAAACGATTTCCCAAGCATTGATGACACTCCCCTCGGGCACGGGGACCACGGATCACTCAACGCGCACCCTGTGTCATGAGTGTGACTCCCTTGGGGCTGCACCAAGAAAAGCTAGCCATAAATCTAGGCATATCTCTCCATCTGCCTCCAGAAACAATATGACAAGCATATCTCAGGGCACCCCTGAAAGCATGTCAAATCCATGCAAAAGAGCCTTTATGCACCAGCAGAACAGGCGCGGCGGTGGAAATGTGCAAGAGCACAGAATGAGTGACTCCGACTCAGAGATCGGGTCTAGTAAGGAGGCTGGAGTGGAGTCCAATACTGACTCATAGAATGATGATGGGGACTTGGGTCTTGATCTCCTTACCTCCACCATGGAGGGGATGACAGGAGGTGACCCTGGGGCTGATCCTCCCGCAACTGCGGGGACTGCCCTCATGGACCCGCTGGGCAAGCCATTGTTCGACCCGGATGACCTTCACCACCCAAGGTCGGCCAAGTGGCTCCCGGCGGACCATGTGGCCTGAACCTGGAAAATTGGGTGCGACACCCCCTAGCAAGGTGGCACGTAATAAGCTCAGAGCTGAGTACCCTAGACCGGTGCCTAACAAGGTGTGCGAAACCCCAGAAGTGGACCCCAAATGACACAATTCTTATCAAAGATGGGTTGTAAAGGCCTGGACTCGGCCCTCAGGTCGTGCCAGGATAAACACCTACACATTTTTGAGCCCCTGGCCAAGCTTTTTGATCTAGATGAGGATGCCAGGGCTGATAACAGGCTAGTCGACTGGGTTTTCTCATCAACTGGGAAAAATCTTGTCTGACACCATCCAGACGCATGGTATTATTGGGCTTCCTTGTTAACTTGGAGGAGGACTCCTTGAACCTACCTGCGTAAAAGGTTCGGACGGTCCGCAAGGAACTTCGCAGCACACTTACCCAACCGCCTCTCACACTGCGTCACTTGGCGAGACTCATCGGACTGTTGGCATCGTCGATCCAGGCGGTGTTCTCGTTTCCCCTCCACGATCGAGCTCTCCAGCAGTTGAAGATTGCACATCTGCGAGAGGGAGCATCATATGGTATCACAGGGAAATGAAAGATGAATTGCCTTGGTGGATTCACCATAGACTCAGACACGAGTCTCCATGGCTGGGGCGTCCACTGTGAAGGTGTGTCCACAAGAGGGTACTGGTCAGAGAGTGAATCCAGAATGCAAATCAATGTTCTGGAGCTTCTAGCGGGCTCCTTTTGCAATTCAGAGTTAAGCGGGGGACCGCCAATGCCTGCATTCGCCTACTATGGATAACATATCAGCAGTTCGATATGTCAACCACATGGGCAGTATCCAGTCCGCACTCTTGGCTTGCTTGACTTCTGGGAGTTTTGTCTAATACGGAATCTGGTGGTCCAGACGGGTACCTACTGGGCATGCACAATGTTCAGGCGGATTGGAACTCACATTTTATCTCGCCAGCATCGATTGGAGATTAGATGTAGAGGTATTTGGCAATATATCGTCCCTTTGGGGTCCCTTTATCATAGACCTATTTGCCTCACGGCTCAACACCCAGCTGCCCCATTTCTTCAGCTGGCGTCCAGACCTAGCCGCGAAGGCGGTGGACGCTTTCCTGCAGGATTGGCACGGACCTCTTCTCTTGCTTTCCCTCCATTTGCCATGCTTCCCAGGACGCTGCTTCAGGTTCGCTGCCAAATGGCGGAGTTGGTTCTCTTAACCCCATACTGGGGGACTCAGTCCCTCAACTGCTGGAGATGGCAATAGATGTTCCCAGGTTATTGCCGATACGTCCGGACCTACTTCAGGGCACAGCAGGATGTCATCATCCTCTCCTCCTAGAAGGATCCCTCCTGTTGATGGCTTGGTGGATTTTTGGGGACCCTGGCAGATCTCTGAAGTTTTTGAAGTAACTCGGCGCCTCTTGGCGGATGCATGGGCTCCCGGAACTCGTAGATCATAGGTATCAGCTTGGAGATCTTGGTCTGGCTGGTGCCTGGCTAGGGACGTGGATCTTGTTTCAGTACCTGTAACAGCAATTCTTCAATTCCTCACGTCTCTGTTTGAAGCTGGCCGGACCTACTGAACAATAAATGTATACAGGTCAGTCATTTCTTCAGTCCATCAGGGTTTTGAGGGTTGTCTGGCAGGATAACATCCCTTAGTATGTCGGCTTCTGCGTGGCTCCCGTCTATCTCGCCCACCTAGACCGCGATACTCCTCTATGTGGGATGTCTCCTTGGTGCTATCACTGTTTCCCTCATGGCCATCTAATACGGAACTTTCCTTGAGCCAATTATCGTCAAAATTGGTCACACTGCTTTGCCTGGTATCCTGTAAGAGGGTTTTGGATGTTCGTGTCTTGGATTTCGACGCTCGCTCCTTCACTCCACACGGGGTGACTTTTAATATAACCAGACACATGAAGACTTCAATTCGATCATTTTCTTATCCGGCCTTCCCTTCGGCTCCAGCATTTTGCCCGGTGACTTGTTTACAGGAATATGAGATTCACACTGAGCTGCATCAGTCACCATCTAGGCCTCATCTTTTTCTATCCCTTTGACCTCTGTTTTCCTCGGTGACGAGTACTGCCATGGCTCGTTGGTTGAAATGGGTGTTGCAACAGGCGCGTGTGGTCACTTTGGAGCCCATTCTGCCAGGGGTGCTTCGGCCTCGTCGATCATGACCTCAATAGCATGGTTGGAGGACCTGATGAGGACGGCGGACTGGTCTCGGGAATCTACTTTCCATGAATTTTATTTTTGACCTGTGACTCGTGTTTTTTTCTACGGTTGTCAGTCAGCTTTAAACTTGCAATGAGCCTCCATGTCTTGTTATAAAATTATATGATTTTGCTATTACATGATGAAAAGTCATGATTTTATTAAAGACATGGAGGCAAGTATTGTTAAAAGGGTCTGTCTCTCCCTTATGATTGCACTAAGTTGCAAGGACTGAAAAAATACATGTGGCTCCTGTCTATATATGTTTTCACAGCCTAATTTGGACTGGTTTGATGGACTCCAACTGATTATCGTACTGGAATCATCTATGTTGTAGGTTTTCTTGTTTCCTGTGATGGATTTGTCCCGGTTCATTGGATGGTTATCTGGTTGGACTCTGACTGGATTTAAAGACAGTTGTTATTGTGCGGTTGGACTGATCCCTCGGTTCCTGTTTGATGTTTGTTTATTGTGGTCACATCTCCAAAGAAAGAAGAAATGTGTAGGGAGGTGCTGACTTGGTATGGAAGTGACTTATCACTATGTATGTCATTTTTTCTTACTGTTTTATATTCTTTGCTGCTATTGGTGGACAGTAAAGAAAGGGATGCAATACTTGCCTCCGTGTCTTTAATAAAATCATGACTTTTCGTCATGTAATAGCAAAACCATGTAATTGTCAAGCTCAGCCAATCCAATGCTTTCCAATGATGATGTAAACCGCTGGAATAAGATTTAACGGATGGCTAAATAGTGTTTTCAACACTATAGGGTCAGGAATACAGATTTGTGTGTCTGACCCTGTAGTGTTCCTTTAATGTTTTCAAGTCTGTTTTCTTAATAGATGATTGCATGCAAAGACAAGTTCCATGGATCTTTGACAGTAGAAACCAAGAGTATAGTCTTTTTGCTGCAGCAATTTTTACAAATTGCTGCAATTGTAAGCCACGCTTTTTTTTTTTTTTTGGTAATAATTTATTTCTTTTTCATTATTCAATACAAATAACACATCTGTAACATAAAAAGACACAACATGCAAGGATGATAATACACATATCATTTATATCATGTTAACCATACTTACACCATATATACATACAAACATATATTTATCTCTTCTATTTCAATAATACAAGTTTGTGGGTTTCTTTTAGTATTAATCTGAGTCAGGGTATACTGTTACGAGCCAGGATATACTATTACCTGCTAATATAACAGTTTCTGTTATTACAATTAGCAGTATAAGAATTTAATCCCTACACTCTATAGAGGGTCGATCAAGGATCTTAATCCATTTGTCCCAAATTTCATATCTTTGCGTACTAATGCAAAATTGTGAGGCTATGCTTCTTTCCATTTTACATTGGGTTTTAATAGCTTCCTTAATTTGCTACCATGTATCTATTGTTGTCTTTTCCCAATTCCTAGCGATCGATATTTTAAAAGCCATCAGTGCATGAATCAAAACATATTTCTTAACATTGGGTATTTACGGTAATTTTAAGTGTAGCAATATTGTTTCGGGTGTCCAATTATGTGTAATACCCAATAGTCTACTAATTTCTAATAAAATTCGATCCCATGCTCTCCTTATCGGTATACAATTCCACCATCTATGCATTTCATCAGCTTCTTCATCTCCACACCTCCAACATTTCTGAATATCTGAGTTGGAAAACTTACATAGCTTGGCAGGTGTCAGATACCACCTATTTACCAACTTAGTAGTGAGCTTCCACTACTTTAACATCTTTACCCACCATACCTATGCATTAAGCATTATATATTGTGCTTTAATTAGCCTTTACTTGAAAGTTGTTGGGTTTTTTTTTAGCTTTAACACCCTTGCATTATATTTACTGTGACAAATAACTATTGAATAAACTAAAGACAAAACAGTATTTTTTTAAAATCACAATTCAGGGACATCTAAAGCTCAACACTATATAAATATCTACAATTCACATTTTTTATTTATCTCATTTTTTTTCAGAACTATTGGAGAGATAAGTAATTTATAAGTAGGACAATTTAGTAGGAACATTATGGAAGTCCTGACCATGGCAATAGCCAGTAGAGTAAAGAACATCACCTGATACCCCTCAGGTTAGTATATCTCTGGAAGCCCTTCTGCTATTAGGTGAGGTAGAGTTCCCTTGTCCAGTTTGATGGGAATCCTCTACCGGCTAATTAAAAAAAAAAATCTAAAGAAATTAATCAAATTATTCTTTATTGCAACACAAGAAATCAGGTGTGTTACATACAAGCACATTTATTACTTTAGTTTTAAACTGTATGCATGGTCAAAGAGAAGTACATTATACCTTATATAGCATACTATTATACATACAAAACACAATCTTCATTCTGGTTGCTGAGAGGATGTGTACAGGTGAGTGGTACCTGTTTACCTGTTTGCTGGTAACAATTTTTATATGAATCAAAATACCAACAAACAAAAAAGAAATCTTCATAAAAGGAGTAAAAGAAGCACAAATAAATCTTTCACTGGTTAAATCGATCATTAATATAAGGAAGGTTGTTCTTTTTTTCGTCCGCAGAACAGCATACATGACAATACATTTCAAAAGGAAACATAAAACTACATAATACAAACTCATTAAAACATTACCAACAGACAATTCTTGAGGAACAGTTGGTGGATATTGTTGCTCATGAGGGGGATTTGCTGGTATTGTCAACTACGAAATTTCCCAGTAGGGTAGGACAGGCCTGACGCTCATGGAGATTGCAGGCAACCAACCCAAGCACAAACCCATACAGTTCTGGACTAGCAAAGGCCTGCACGAGTCCTGCTCTGTGCTCCACTCCTCCAGAAATTTCAAAACACCCCCTGCACATCTTTTTAACCAGCAGAAAAATAATATGAGAAGCCCTTGCATGCCAGTGACCTTGGGAGCAATTGTCTTCTTTGCCAGCTTTGCTATATTTAAATTTCATCTCATTTTCTCTTGAAACAAATACAAGCTTTACATTAATTTCTAAGTACACATTGAGAATCCAGAGGTTTAATAATAAATGCTGGATGGACATGCAGTGAGTGAATCATGAAGTGACTTTTTAAGCAAACCAAACACGGAATTTCTTACTCCAGATATCATGGCAGAATAGCCTAACACAGAAAAAAGAAACATGCAAAATAAAAAAGTTTGAAAGGCAAACTTTGTTACATCACTGTTGACCTAGGAAAAGCTGATGGACCTTCATGAGTCCCATCCAAGATAATGGTGAGATGGACAGGTCAGAAGAAAGAGCGAGCAGCTCTCCCCCACAGGTATCTACCCTTGTAACCAAGATTAACCAAGAACATATTGCAATCTACGTTCGGCTGCTTTTCTGAATTGTAGAAATTGGTGGGGGATATCAGAAAGCACATCCAAGACTTGAGAACGAGGATATCCCATATGGAGTAAAAAATGGATGAATTTACAGAGGCCCATAACAGCTTGGTGGACTGAGTGCAGCAGCGACCCAGCTGGAATCCTACAAATAAAAGCTTATGGAGCCAGAGGATAGGTCCAGGTAGAACAATCTGCACTTAGGGGAATACCCTAAAGCATGAACCAGGATGTGCTACCAACTTACCTGCAAGCTTTGTTTAAGGTGCAGATGCATAGAGTGGCCAGACTGCAACATGGGAGTTACTGTTGCTTTTATATGTTTATCCCTATTGTTTTTCTTTTTCTTCTGGCCAAGTGGGCAGCCCAGTTTCCTTTGTTTCTCCATTTCCTACTACAGGGAGAGATTGAAAGGTTGTTGGTGGTTCAAAATTATATATCGAAGAAAAGTATGGTACGCAGTACTTCACCCTTGATTCTATATCAGATGATATGTATCTTTTTCAATTTTTTAAGAAAATCTTTATTTATTAATTTTTTTAACAAGAATTGTATCGAAGCATTCTGTATGCATCTACAAGTTAAACTTTTCACATGGAAATTAGTGAATGAATATTAACATGAGATTTCTGAAACCAAGGTATCAATTGAATTATGTTGGATTCAACTAGGGAAATAAAAATCTCCATGAATCACTGAGCTTTAGTAACCAATCACTTTGGGCTTATAAGTGTTCGTGAGCAGTTTTGTGCAAATCTGGTAGTGGATTTGTAACATCCCCGTGGGGCAAGTTAGGTATATAGTTACATAGCTGAAAAGAGACTGGCGTCCATCAAGTTCAGCCTTCCTGACACGTTTTTGCTGTTGATCCAAAAGAAGGCAAAAAAATCCAGTCTGAAGCGCTTCCAATTTTGCAACAAACTAGGAAAAAAATTCCTTCTTGACCCCAAAATAGCAGTCAGATGTTTCCTTGGATCAAGCAGCTATTACCCCACTAATTATAAATTATATCCCTGTATGTTATGTTTTTGCAAGTATTTATCCAATTGCAGTTTAAATATCTGTATGGACTCATAAAATCACCTCTTCAGGCAGAGAATTCCATATCCTTATTGCTCTTACTGTAAAAAAACATTTTCTTTGCCTTAGATTAGTGTTTCCCAACCCAGTCCTCAAGGCACACCTACCAGTCCAGGATTTAGGGATTACCCAGTTGTGTCTAAGGTGTTTTTTTTCTTCTTTGTAAAAACACCTTAGACACAACTGGGTAATCCCTAAATCCTGGACTGGTAGGTGTGCCTTGAGGACTGGGTTGGGAAACATTGCCTTAGATGAAATCTCCTTTCCTCCAGCCTAAATGTGTGACCTCGTGTCCTATGTATAGCCCTTTTTATAAATAGATTTCCAGATAAAGGTTTGTACTGGCCCGGAATATATTTGTGTAATGTTATCATATCCCCTCTCAGGCAACGTTTTTCCAAACTAAACAGATTTTTTAACCTTTTTAACCTTTCTTCGTAACTAAAATGCTCCATTCGTTTTATCAATTTTGTAGCTCGTCTCTGCACTTTTTTATAGTTGTTGGTTCAGTCTCTACAGGTGTCTGGGTGAATGAGACCACAAGTGAATAGAATGTAGTGTCCCCAGATTTCCTAACCTGACCCGTCTTGGTCCCTCAACCGATTCCCCATCTCACAGTTGAACCAGGAGATTTGTCATTTGTCTGACTGCATGCATTATCTCTTTGTGTGACAAAGTATAATGTAATGTAAAACAATACAAATGTGAGAGTGCAACTAAAATAGAATTTAGACCCTAGAACAATGTTATATTTACACAGACTGATTTGCAAACACATTTATTGTAGTTTGAAGACACATTAACTGTGAGTATTATTGCTGTGGAGCTCTGTTTATGCACTCGGACACAACAACAACAATATGGAGCTCCTAGAAAAGTGATTTGAACCCAAAATAGGGGCTGTGCCTTTTAAATAGGGACACTTGGGATATATGCTGTAGTCTTATTTTAACTAACAAGTGAATAAAATAAGACATAATGTAATATTTAAAACATAAAATGAGTAAGGGTAATATGATTGATTATAGGATGAGTAAAGGTAGTAAAGTGTGCAAAGTATATTTTTACAAAGTGCTTTGGTTAAAAAAAAAAAAAAAGGCAATTATCTTACTGTTAGCAATCCTACCTTTCTTATTGTTGCTGTAAAGTACAACTCAACACCAAACACACAGAATATAGTTGCCAATTCTAGTTATAGTTCTGCATTAGGTTCAGAGTGCATACTTTGTGGCTTTGTTTAAAAAGAGGGTGTGCTTGACGTTGTGTCAAGTAGCAGGTATCAGTGAGATCCAGAGGGAGTAACTATGGGAGAGGCTGGGCTCTAAACGTACAGCAAACATGACATGAGGAAATAAGCCGTTTGGATTATTCGCTAAAAAGTGATTCATTTTTAAATTGAAAATCAGCATCAAATTAAGACTCAGCTATTTGGAAAAAAAAAACATCCCGAAGCCTGCAAAACTTGAATATTTTTCTTTAAACTCAGTTCTGCCTTTAATTTATCAAGACAGTTGTCACGTCACCATTACTGTGTAGTGAATAAAACCCATTGTTAAATCTGAGCATTGTAAACCTGTTTTAGTCCAAACAAACATTTCTGTCCTTTTCCTGGCAGCCAGCCAATTTAAATAGAATAAACGTGAAAAAAATCAACTGTTAACATTTCAGAATAGTTTGTTGAAAGAGGATATGCCCGGTTTTAAACACAAACAAAATTCACTGAACTCCAAATGCAACCAGATCTCAGATTCCATTATTAAAGGCAAAATGCAGTAGAAATTCAGTGATTTGCACCTACAGACCACATCTAGTATCGGCTTTAAAATCAGCAAATCACCAAAGTAAATCCTATACAAAGTGTTTTTAATTAACTAGATTTTAACCAGATCTGCGCCAATAAGAAGTAAATCAACTAAATAGAGTCTTATGTGTTTTGCTGATGAATCTATTAAAATATGTGCTATTTGCCATCTTGCAATGCAGGTATCCAGCAAGTAAATATAGTTGAAAATAAATTGGTGAATTGCAGCAGAGGTGTTTTTCTTGATTTGTTAAATATATAGTTTAGCATAAACCTGGAAAAAACCTATTTATGAGCTATGTTGGTTATGAAGCTAAGTGATCCTTAAAGTGCAAATGTGACTTTCAAACATTTCTCAAAAAATCACAATGAGACAGAAATGTTATGGAGACACTTTAATACATCTGTCCTCATTATGTGTAAACAGAATATTATTGAGCAGTGGTCCTTACATAGCACTGTAGGCACCCAGACCACTTCAGCTCATTGAAGTAGTCTCGGTGCTGTGTCCCTTTTGCACCTAGTGCTGCAAAGTAAAACATTTCAGTTACAGAGAACTGCAATTACATGCCCTCAGTAATTGTCTACCAGATAGCCACTGGAGGCGCTTCCGGAATCAAAAGGGACTCTTGGTCTATGTGTCTGTGTGTATAACTGTCTGCCTGTGTGTGTGTGTGTGTGTGTGTGACTGTCTGCCTGTGTGTGTGTCTGTGTGTGTGTGTGGGACTGTCTGCCTGTGTGTGTGTGTCTGTGTGTGTGACTGTATATGGTCTATGTGTGTAGGACTGTCTGCCTGTGTGTGTGTGTGTATGTGTGTGTGACTGTCTGCCTGTGTGTGTGTCTGTGTCTCTGTGTGTGTATGACTGTCTGCCTGTGTGTGTGTATGACTGTCTGCCTGTGTGTGTGTCTGTGTGTATAACTGTCTGCCTGTGTGTGTGTCTGTGTGTGTGTGACTGTCTGCCTGTGTGTGTGTATGTGTGTGTGTGACTGTCTGCCTGTGTGTGTGTCACTGTCAGCCTGTGTGTGTGTGACTGTCTGCATGACTGTCTGCCTGTGTGTGAGTGTGTGCGTGACGGTCTGCCTGTGTGTGTGGCTGTCTGTCTGTGTGTGTGTGTGTGACTGCCTTCCTCTGTGTGTGTGGATGTCTTCCTGTGTGTGTATGGCCGTCTGACTCTGTGTGTGTGTGTGTGTGTTTGTGTGTGACTGCCTGTGTGTGTGTGTGGCTGTCTGCCTGTGTGTGTATGTGTGTGACTGCCTGTGTGTGTGTGTGGCTGTCTGCCTGTGTGTGTATGTGTGTGGCTGCCTGTGTGTGTGTGGCTGTTTGCGTGTGTGTGTTTGTGACTGTCTGCATGTATGTGTGTGTAAGACTGTATGTGTGGCTGTGTGTGTATGGCTGTCTGCCTGTAATTGTGTGTGAGTGTGTTTATCTACCTGTAACTGTGTATGTGACTATCTGCCTGCGACTATGTTCATGTGGTTGATTTGACAGTGTATATGTATAACTGTGTGCATATCACTGTGGGACATAACTCTGCAAAAATATACACCTGCATTCACACACAGGCCTAAATGCATGCTGTTATCTGAATTAAATAACAATCACACACAGCCAATAAACCCAGCACAAATATCACATACAACCAATACACGCATATCACACACTGTTAAAACACCCATTACAAATATCACACACAGCCAACACATAGCATACATATCACACACAGTCATTACACCGATCGCATACACAGACAACACAAACATTACATCATACATTGATGACGGGGGGTGGGGTGGGGCGCTGTGAAGATTTTTTGCACGGGGCGCCTAAAGGCCTAAAGCCGGTTTGGTTGTAAGTCATTCAGATAGGTGAGTGCTGCCTGGTTCTGTTAAAAGGGATAAACGTAATGCCAAAAAATTTTGTGGTTAATACCGTAACAACAGTTTTTCATATAAATTAAAATAGAAAAAAATTTATGCGCTGTGCTTTCAAACAAACAGGCCTATTTTAAGCTGCTGTCCAGCCCTGACTTGGACAAGTGTAACTTGTATTGGCTGGATTTTGCCATAATCACAATCTTGTGTTGTCATGTCTTTTTGTGTTTTATAAATTTTTATGAAGTTTGGCCTATTTTGCATGTTCTTGTTTGTTTTTTTCTAAACAAACCAAACCAAAAATGTTGTATTTTTTTTTGCCGGTGATGATTCCAAAGTTCAACTCCTAACTCAATAGGATAACTCAAGGCACAAACTGTGTTTCCCCTGTGGGAAAAAAAATGGAGTTAAAAATAAAGTATAGGATAAACTTAATTTGTAATACCACTCTAAGACCAAGTTCTCACTGAAGCCTTACATTCCTCTAGTGATGTCATCCCTCTCACTATAGGGAGAGGATGTCCCATTGGTCAGGCTGAAATTAGAACTTTGGAAGCACAAAGGGAAAGGGGCATGCCACCATTGGTTGTCTGTCGCCCAGTGGTGTATTTTGAATTTGTGCTTCCCTAGGCATGATGGAACTTGGGCACCCACTAATTTAAATTTGTCCCACCCCTTTCGGTCAAGGCCACACCCCTTGATGTTAAAGACTAACACACGCTTTGACTGACAAACACACAGACACAACCACTAACTAACCGGCACATACTCTCAGATACACAGACAAACACACACTGCCAGTCTAGCAAATAATTTGTAGACACAAAATAACAGTTGGACTCTTTACTCTTATTTGTCTATCACTGCTCTTGATACATTACTAGCTATATTTTAAATAGCATTGTATACTCCTCAGAGCACAGTATATAGATGAATTGGGCAATGTTTTTGTTTTTTTTAATCTAAGTGCCATATTCTTTACTTTGTTTCCCTTCATGCCACTGAGCGGACTCCTTTTAGGATCTGCAAAAATACATCATACAAATTTATTGTGTTCTGACTAGCCGGGATATATTAATAGGAGGTTTCTTTTTTACTTCCACCGCTAGCTTCCCGATTGTTAGTTAAATCAGTTTGGGTTTTGCTGCCTTTGATTTCCCCATATATCCCTTATGTATCCTACTATTCAAGACTGTACCCAATCTCCTACCTCAACAAAGTTTTTTATTTTTATGTGATAAGGCACTAAGCCTACTATTGGATTAGCAGCTTTTATCAGGGTAATACGATTAGTACTGGTCTTGCTTTTCTGTAACTCCGCTCTAATCTTCCTTATTAAATATGTAAGTTGACTGCCCAGCCATGTGTGTAATCCCGCTATTTTCCGTTATATCTATTATGTCATATTGCTTAGTGTATGATCTTGTTCCCCCATTTTGTTATTTAGACTCCTTGCATTATTAAGCATGCATTTAATATCATTGCAAGTCTTTGAGAATTGACAATTCTGCATCCAGGCTTTATTAATATTGCTCTGTTTTCTCAATCGTCTGATTTCTGGTGTACCTTACCTTTGGCTTGTTTAGTGTTTATTTTATCCTATGTGAAGCCCAGCCACCTATTAGGGCAATTAGATCATGACCCTAGCTATTATCACAGTGCTTTTACCCTGTCTGGCAAATGCGTTTGGTAGAAGCTGATAGGACACTGTTCGTTTGTTTTTTTTCTACTCAAGAATGATTATGGTACAGACTGGTTGTGTGCAAAGCTTTGTTGATCTCCGGCTGAAAAGGTTGAGTAGATCAGTAATTGCCCATTCACTTTTTCCTTTATTTTTAAGCATGCCATATGAGCAGCTTATTTGTGGTTGTTTGTGAGTGAGACTGGGACAAGTTGAGATCTAAAAAGCTAAGCACAGCCCAAACAGGTTCCTAATATAACTAAATTAAGTTAATGAAAAAAAACATGTGATATTAAGTGACTTTGAAATTGATGATGGGATGAACCTGGTGTTGTATTACCAACAATTGTCTTCTCTTCTGTGAGAACCCATACTCAACCCATCTTATGGAAGTCTGCAATGTGTTTCATGTTATTTTCATGTTGTCATTTTCATGTTATTTTCATGTTGTGCTTTTATTGTTATGGTTAAAACACAATTTATACATAAATGCTCTGTTAATGCCATGTGTAATAAGTACCAAGTTACTAACTAGTAGCTAAAAAATTGTTACGGCCATGAACTAATTGATATGAATGAATCCACACCCAAATGAATCAGTTCGTCCAGGAAACAATTTACTGTTCAAATCAATTTGTTTAGGTGTGCATCAAAAATAGTTTGATTAGACAAATCAGTGTGTTTATGGATTGCACAAGTCAATGCTATCCCCATTTTTGTTCTTCTCCCATTTTTAATTTCATGTATAAACCAAAAAGCTGAACAAGCGCTTAGATCAATGATATAAATATGGGAATGTGCTTATATGCTCTCAAAATATAAATTAATGTGGACCTTCTACTTAAGACCAATATCCAAAAAATATATATGTGCAGATGTTGATTTACCCTCAAAATATAATAAATGTGCCCTGTTCCCGTGGCACTCACACCAAAGTGAGACACAAAATCCAATAAATACAAAAAGTAAACATTGGTGCGCTTGACATACAGTTTTTCTCCAAAAAAATCGAATCTGCAAATAAATATACAAATAGCATAATAGTGCAGACCAATATTATAAAAAATACATAAGTATATATCTGGAGGTCCAACATATGGCAGAGCCTTGTCAACCCTGACTTTGGGTATCAATGGCTCCACTTGAGAGGGAGATTACCACATTATCAAGGTTAAACTGCCACACACTATCTTGAACTTTAATGTTTAACAGTGAGAAATAAAAAGCAGAAAGAAACTAGTGGTGCAGTATCAAATATATTTATTTTATAAAACACAACATAAAAGCAGCTTACTCAAAGTCCTGGTGGGTTTCCCAGCCGAGCACCCACTATGCATTTACTTACTGTCAAAGAATTTCTTTGACCCATACATTCTGAGTATAGTGGTGGCTGGTGAAGTTTTAAGATGGTGGGACACCAGACTCCTACCCCCCAATTTTAATCCATCCCATACAGTACAGAGATGCTCATACAATGCATTGGCTTCCCATTAGATACAGGGCTTAATTGAAAGTTATATTAGTTAAACTGCTGACAGCTTTCACTCCCCATATTATGATTTCTCTCCTGCAACTGTCGTAAAAAAAAAAATCACTCAAGCCCTCAGTGAATACTATTCAAGCAACATTAGTCTTCTACTCTACCCTTTTTGTGTCACTATACCCCACTACCTCTAGCATGTAAGCTCACTGAGCAGGGCCCTCAACCCCACTGTTCCTTGGCGTCCATCTTGTCTGGTTTCAACTACCTTTCTGTCAGTCCACCAATTGTACATCGCTGCTGAATCTGCTTTATAAATAATAATATATACATAGAGCTGAGTACAATACAGTGATAACCATACCACAAACATAACTGAGATAAAATAGATATTGCTGGGCAGAACACAAAGATACCTATACAATAAACAGAGCTGGGTAGACTACAGAGATACCCATACAACAGGTATAGCTGAGTAAAATACAGAGAAATAACACAGAGAAGTGGGCACAATAAGGAGATACTTAAAACTATCCCAGGGTCACAGTGATGGATTATATAGAGCAAAAACATGAAAAGAACAGGATACAATATGCAAAAATGGCATAGAGGAACAAAAAAGCGTCAAGTTGCGCAAAACGATGGGTAAGATGGGCAAAAGGAGGGTTTACAGACATACAGGTGTAGATGAAATTTGGGGCAGCAAAATGCATATTCGCCTGTGTAAATAACATCTTGATCCAATGATAAATCTGACTGAAATTCTGGGATCAAGAAAGAATGTCAATCCTAATTTGTTGCAAAATGGGGTTTATATTTTGTTTGCATTCCTTTTGGCTCAACAGCAAAAACAGTTGTAAGAAAGGCTGTATTTTTTCAGCCTATGTAACTATATGACTGCCTCTGCAATGACTGGCACTATCTTCAACACCCCCACGCTGTGCCAAAGGATGGTGTTAGTGGTGGCTACTGCTTTTGCTCTTCTTTTTATAAATGCCGTTTATTATAGTGGTTTTACCCTGCCTTATGTTTGTGTTGAAAAATAGTTGTTACTTGATGGACAATGAACTATGGTAACACTATTGTTTTTGACTACACTGCGCAGAGCACACAGTTACAGAAATAAATGGCTTTTTAAAGCTGATTCCTCATCGTCTCTGCAACACTACTACTGCCACACTTAGTGTAGGCAGGATTCACTTGTGCAATGTGCAGTAAACTGAAGACGTACACTGTGTATATTACTGAGGGAGAAGCTTGCAAGTTCCAAGGCACAAACAATTAATCTGTCTTTGATAAGAAATAGAAAAATTATCACACTGTAGGAAAAAACTGCACAGCCCTTTCAGCTTCTGCCAACTGCATTTGAAGAAATAACAGGCAAAATATGTCTGTTGTGAGTGTGTACAGTGCACAGGAAACAGACGTAATAAGCTTCTCCCCGGCAGGCAGCGCTTACAAGAGGATGCTTGTACCCCCTCTCCCTCAATTCTTTTATTTAAGCTCACCCACCATCCCCTCCTTCCTATACGTTTTTGTTCCATATCTTTTTTTTTTTTCTTCTAAATTTCCCCTCCCTCACCTTTCCGGCTCAGAGTGTGAGCCAGAGAATCAGTCCAATTAAATGCTTCTCAATTAAGCATTTGCTTGGACCACAAGAGGGCACCGGTGACATTAGAGTGTAGAATCCATAGAGGGGAGGGAGGGGGAGAGGGAGGGAGAGAGAGAGAAAGAAAAAAAAAAAAAGAAAGTTTCTAAAAACATTTTTTCTATGTACAGAGTTTTGATCATGCATACATATCTTTATTCAGTATGTCATTTTTATTTACATTTGATAGACTCGAGTGCAGAGATTTAGCTCAGGTAGATTGTGTTTGTCTTTCTCAGTGGATACAGTAACAGTTAAAATATTTTACATGTTTTTTAGTGTGAGAATTGTCATGCAGAGGGAATTTATTACAACGTGGCAGGAATTTGGTTAATGGATTTATTGTTAAAGGAATGCGCATGCGTGGCAAGTGCTGCAGGCGCATTCAAACAGTCCATAGGAAAGCATTTCTCAATGCTTTTATATGGACGCTCTGTGCGATGGATGCGAAATTCGCATCCAGCATCGCAGATGCACCTCTAGCGGCTGTCAGGAAGATAGCCACAAGAGGCTGGATTAACCATGCTATGTAAACATAGCAGTTTCTCTGAAACTACTATGTTTACAACTGAAGGGTTAAAACCTGAGGGACCTGGCACCCAGACCACTCCACTGAGCTGAAGTGATCTGGGTGACTATAGTGTCCCTTTAAATGTGTATTTCAATACTTTGTGTGGATGAGCAATTTCAATTGCAGTAGAGGACTTTGGTTAATAGATTTATTGATAACTTTGGAACACAGAGTATCTCTTTACTTTGCATGTAAGTAAGATCATATGTTTTAATATGTCAGGCATTCTATACGGATTACAGTCCTTCAATCATTTGGGGTTGGGTTATAAAATAGTCCCTTTCATTACAATATAATATTGCAATACTAAGTGTTTTAATTAGGCACCACTGACAAACGGGATACAATATGCAAAAGGCGTAGAGGAACAAAAAGGCGGCAAGTTGTGCAAAACAATGAGTAAGATAGGCAAAAGGAGGATTTTCAGGCACACGGGTGTAGATGAAATTTGGGGTGGCAAAATGCGTTTTCGCCTGTGTAGATAAAAATTCTGACGGGATGCATACTTGTAAAAACAAAATATTCAGGGATATAATTTTTCATTTGTGGCTTAATAGCTTGTACAAAAATATGTTATGTTGTGAGTGTATGCAGTGCACAGAAAACAGACGTAATAAGCTTCACCCTAGTGGCACTAAAAGGGTGTTTGTAATTTGATAACTATATTGATTAAGACTAACAAAGGTGCTACCTCCTATTCCTGTTATTTTTTTAAACTAGGTGTTTATTTGTGTCACCGGTACTGCTGATCAGGTACCTTTACAGACGAGAAAAGAAACACTCACAGCCTTTCCTTGATTATATTTTCTGTCCCCCTCCACATTCATATTGTAGATGTATGGAAATAATTTTGTATAATTTTATATTATATGTACAACACATACATGGCCTTTTTAAATAATAGCCATGTATGTCCATACTCTCACCTCTGTTCTCCTTCAAAACTTCTCGAGGGCTGCACCATTTCTATGGAACTCCCTTCCCTTCTCCGTTAGACACTCACCCAGTCTCTACTCCTTCTAAAAAACTGTAAAAACTCACTTCTTCATGAAAGTGTTGCAATTAAACTGTTAATAGCTCCCAATTAATTCCTCTCCTACAACTGCCATTAAAAACACACTAAGTCTTCAGTGAATAATATTTTACCAATCTACTTCTCTACCCCTACCCTTACCCAGGGGTCAAGTCCTGGGGAAGAAAGTGTGGGAACTCACCCAAGATCCATGACCCCCCCCAAAAAAAGAATACGCTCGTATTCATATATATTTCTCAAAAAATACAGTGCATCCTTTATTGTAAAGTGCCAGTTTAATTGTTTAAGGACAGCTGGACAACTTACCTGGGTCATGGCAGGCGCCTGCACCGCATCTGCTGCATCGAGTCTTGTCCAGGTGGAGAAGTCAGGTTACTCTACAGAACAAATCAGGACCATGTAGGACTGCACACATAGGTTGAGAGTACCCGCTAACCATAAGTGCAGTCCTACATCAACTGTGCTTTACTATAGAGACGTTTCTCTTGCTGGAGAAGACCAGATGTAGTGTAGGCACCCAGCAGAACCTGGGGTTGCTTTGTGTGTGAGGGGTGCAGAGTGTGTGTGTGATGGATGCTGTGTGTGTGAGGGGTGCAGCGTGTGTGTGTGTGAGGGGGTGCTGTGTGTTTGTGAGGGGTGCTGTGTGTGGGAGGGGGGGTGCTGTGTTTGTGTGAGGGGTTGTCTGTACTTGTCCCGCAAGGTGAGTGCTGTTTCAGAGCATTGCCATGGCAATGCGCGGCAGCGCTCCGATCAGCATTCTCACGAACGAAGGGCCTCTCGGGCCAGTGAAGGAGATGATTGATCTCCTCACCGGCCCAAGAGGGCCCAAAGCAAATGAGCAGGGCCGACTCTCCGTGGGCCAGCAGGGAAAATCAAAGGATCTCCCCTGCCATCCTCGGCACATGGGCAATGCTGTGGGGCCCCTATTCTTGTGGGGCCCCCGTGCAAGTGCCCAGCATGCCCATGCGGAAAGACGGCCCTGAGGTCCTGCAGTACTATTAACGGGAACGGTGTTCCTGCTGTGGAAAAAGTGCATGAATGCCGTTCCCACGTGTTCCTGCAGGACACAAGCCCTGCCCTTACCTTTGTGTCTCTTTACCCCACAAACCAGGGCCCTCATACCCTCTGTTCCTGTGCGTCCAACTTGTCTGGTTACAATCACATGTTTGTTAGGCCATCTATCATGGCAAAGTCTGGCATTTTTTTTTTTTTTCTGGAAAAATCTTTTTTTTTTGTGTCTTTCTTTTTCCAACAAAGCAATATGTATTTGTTTTTCTAGCAGCTTTAGAAGCAAATATTGATCATGGTGTATATTTTGTACATTCAAAGTACATACAATATTACAATGATTTCTTGGTTTCCATTAGTACATTTGTAAAGGCTTTCAGCATATTGTCAGCTATGTGTACTTGCAAATGGATTCATTGAAAAAAACCCAATTGTATTTGGGAGCGAAAAGCAGGACCACAGCGACAATAACACAGAACAATCAAGCTTGTATTAACATTGCTTGGTAACCCTAAAAGCGTTGACTATCAAAAACATAAAATAAAGTTTAATACATATCGGGATTTTATACTTAATATCACAGTTAAGGGTAAATATTGCATAACCAATATAAACAAGCATTGGTGGATACGTCCAGAGGATCTACAAAGAAGATTATAGAATGTAGAGATGGCAAGCCTGCCCGAGTGAGGCTCACTTCCCTGCAGCACCATAAATCGAACGGCGGTATCGGTGTCCCCGATATCCGCAAATATTATTTCGCCACTAACGCTGCAGTGGTTGTGAGCTTTAACAACCAGGATGATAAACCCAGATGGATGGAGATAGAGGAATCAAAAATTTCACCGGTCAGGCTATTAGAATTACCTTGGTTAAATCCCAAGAAAAGACCTGGAATTACAAAATTATTTTTATCCACCAGGACTACGCTTAAGGCCTGGGACATTGTTTTTAAAAATGACCAGTCTCCCAGTTTATATAGAGCAATGCCTATTGAATTATTGAAAGATCATATACCATCCTTAAAAATAGAATTATTAAAGGATTGCTCTATAACTAATCTGGACAATTTTTTCTATGGCAATGCTATTCTTTCTTTGGAAAAATTGAAGCTTAAGTATGGATTGTCGAATGCATGTGAACTGGAATGTATGATAATCATTGATAAATTGAAAGAACTATACCAGGTACCTGAAACAGATAAAAACTATAAATCACTTGAGATATCTCCTTTAGAGAAAGTTATTTTATACAGCCCTGCTAGTAAAGGTATTATATCCTTATGTTACTTATCTCATAATGCCAAGCCCTTAGTTAAATTAAAACATATGCTGTCATGGGAGACGGAGTTGGGTGCCCAGTACGATTTAGAAGAATGGTTCGGTTTCTTTACAGGTTTAAAAGGTATTTCGTATTGCACCGACCATTTTGAAAATCATTATAAAATCTTATATCGCTGGTACCTGGCTCCGTCTAGATTACATAACATGAACAATATGTATTCTGACCGGTGTTGGAGAGACTGTGGGGGAGTGGGCAATATGGCCCATATCTGGTGGTTCTGCCCCAAGTTAATTAATTATTGGAAAATGATCCACGATCTGATTATTAAAGTGAACGGAACCATTAGTATCTTAACCTCGGAACTAGCCTTATTTAAAAAACTCCCGGAGTCTGTTAATAGATCAGATAAAATAATCATAGGCCACATTCTGATCGCTGCTACATCCTGTTTACCTAGACATTGGAAGTCTCAAAATGTGCCATCTCTCAGAGAAGTTTTTAATTTGATTTTAGAAAATAAGGCACATGAACTATCACACAGAGCCAATATGCATGGTTTCCCAATACTAAAATACAACTGGGATAAATGGGAAGAAAAAATCAAAACAGTTTATGGTCTTTGATATATTTATTGTTAAAGTGCATTGTTGTAAAACATTTTTCCTTTTGCCTTCTACTTTAATATGTTTATTTCATTGATGGATGGATACCCCTTCCCATTTCCATGTTACCCCTCCTTTCCTACCCCTAATACAATGTTTGTATTATTATCATTTGTTATACAAAAAAAACTTTAATAAAAATTATTTGAAAAGAATGTAGAGACGGTTCAATATTGAAATGCGAAAGTATTTGTCTTTTTTTGCAATGTAACTTTATATTTAATTTCAGGCTATTTATTTTCTGTTTATTTTTACCATGCAGATACTTTGCCTGAAACTGTAAGCAAATCATTTCCATCAAGCACAGTCAAAACAGGTAAAGCGACTGCATAGTCATGATATTATCCAGTGTATCCAACATCTGTATTTATTTCTTTTTTTACACTATTTACCTTCACACTCATCACTACAACTATGTTGCTGGGGGTTTTCACAATATAGGACCTCATGTGAAACATAAGCTTCAATTTAATTATATTGGCAAAATCAGTTGATAATTATTTTTTTTAAATTAATTTTCAACCAGTTTAAAGACAGCAGCAAACCACTATACCTCTACTAGCCAGTTGACTTAAGCATTGCGGAAACAATTGGTTCTTCTGAATCACTTTGGCTGAAAACAAAATAAAGTCTGTACGGCAGAATTTAGCACATGCCACGATTCGGCTTGGCAGAACTGCAGTATCAAAATTAATTCGGCAGTCAAAAAAAAAATGTCTACAATATTTCTTTAACTAAGAGTTACACTATATCAGACATTTGTGAAATGCTAATTCTAAATTTCAGTTATAACATTCTTATATATCTGGATTAAAAAGAAAAAATAGGAAATGAGACTTAGTTTCATAATTATTAATTGCAATATTTTTCCTTGTATTCCCTGTATTGATGAAAAATAAGGAGCAGGAGTCAGTGGGCAAAACTCTCCCGCATATCCAGTCTGTAGCTTCTGTGACTGTCCTTCAATGTGGAAAGACACATTGTCCAATCCTCAACGCAGATGGAGTAGTGGGAAGACAGACTAAAGATTGTCCTTTGCTGTTACAAAATTCTTTTCATCATCTCTAAAATGGAATAAAACTAGGGTTACCATATCTACCATGTTTTCTGAGACACACAATTTCATGTTTTCTGTTGACACAGAAGTGTTGATTGGCAGAAGTGGTGTATTTTGGATCTGTGCTGCCCTAGACATGACGGAACTCTGGCACTCCCTAACTTATATTTGCCCTGCCCTTTCCCGTCAAGACCACACCTCTTCCTGTTAAAGACTAACAAACACTTCGACTGACAGTCACAAACTCTCCGATACACTGACAAACACAAACTCACTGATTTGACATAATCTGACAGATGCACACACAATCACTCACTGACAGACACAAGGACAGACACACATAATCACTCAGACCCACCCACATTCACTGACAGACACTTACAGACACACACATACAGACACACACAATCACTCAGACATAAACACATTCACTGACAGACACACATGCTCACTCACAGACACACACTGACATACACTCACTCATTCAGAGACATACACTGACAGACATACACACATCCAAGCACAGACAGACACCCACACTCACGCAGACATATACACTGTCCCAGACTGATAGACAAACACACACTCACAGACACACTGACAGCTATATACACACACACACACACATACACACATTCATTGACAGACACACAAACACACACATTTCCCCCCCCCCCCAACACTCACAGATTACTGTTATTTTTTTAATTTTAATTTAAATCCACCCAGCCTCCCTACCTTTAGGAGAGCTAGGTGGATATTTTTCACCTGTGGTCCAGTGGGGCTGCTGGGCTAGCTGATGGCCAGGTTGTTGAGCAAACAGGCAGGCAGATGGTCAGGTGCGCAAAGCAGGCAGCGAGGGCGCTGATTGGTAGCACATGAAAATTCTGCCCTGCATTATGGATAATGTATATGCTGCAGCATAGCTAGGCATTAGATGTGTGCATTCATTATCAGACAAACCACATTTTATCTGAATTTTGGAAGCTTGCAGATTTGAAGCTATGCAATTACTGAAAACAAACATTTCCTGGAAAACATTATCACAGAAACCCCACTGCATCAGTGATTGATAGTGCTGTTCCAGCTTTTGTATAGAGTAATTGCAATGTTGTTTATGTCGTAATCTGGGTAAGCAGGTTGGGTTTTGCTTGGTAACATGTTGGTCTGTTTGCATTTTATCTTTATATCAAATGTCAAGTGTTAACAATCCTGGCAAAGTGTGTTAACAATAATCCTGGCAAAGTCTGACATTTTAAAAAAAACAACAATTGTACACGATTTTCCTTCCTGCAAAGATATTGTTTCTTATAGAAATATTCCACTTCCAAACAATCAAACTGTAACAATACATGTTTGCTTTTATAGCAGCGTTTGAAGCAAATTTTGCAAAATGTATCATGGTGTATATTCTGTTTCCTGGAACAAAACAAGTACATATATTATAACCATGGCTTCTTGGTTTCCCTCTAGTACAATTGCAAATATTTTCAGCATCAGTTATGTGTAATTGCAAATTTACTTTTTTTAAAATTACTATTATTTTTAATTTGGGATACAAAAAGCGTGGACAGGACATGGTACATAGCAACAATATGTTACATTTAAACTTGTAGATGAACATTATTTGATAACTGTAGAATCTACAACTATGCAATTGACAAAACTTAAGTTTAATACGTCTCTGGGTGTTACACTTCGTAATAATATAACAGTTCAGGGTAGATAGTGGTTAACCAATATAAACAAGCATTGGTGGATAAGCCCATGGGATCTACAAAGTAAAATGATATGATATAAACACGGTTCAATATTGTAATTCAGTTTTGAAAATATGTATTTTCTTGCAATGCAACATTATATTTTACTTTCAAGCTAGGACATACTTGAAAACGAGAGAAATCTCAATGTATCATTCCTGGTAAAATATTTTATAAATAAATAAATATTTTCTGTTTATTTTTACCTTACAGTGTCTAGTAGTACAAAAGTAAGCTCACCATCTTCATCAAGCACAGTCAAGCCAGGTAAAGCTATTGCATAGTCATGATATTACTCTGTTTCCTATATCTATTTAACCCCTTAACGCCGTTACGGCTTTATATGCCGTCCCACATTAAATGGGCTTTAAAGCCGTTGCGGCGGCATAGAACGCCGTAAAGGCTTGCAGCCCCAGGAGCCTCCAGCTACTTACCTCCGCCGCGATCCTCTTCTCGAGGGCTGCCTGACAGCCCAGGTAGCCCTCCCAGGCAAATCAGGCCCCCGGGGGCCATGTGATTGTCATACATAGTGTATTTTAATAAGTACATATATTAGTATTAAAATACACTTAGAATGACATTACATATAAGATATATATATTATATATATATAATACATATATAATACATATACATATATATATATTTTATATTTATATATACACGTATAATTACAATAATAAACAAAATAAAATAAATAAATAAAATATTTAAAAAATTTTTAAAATAAATTATATATACATATGTAATCTCATTCTAACTGTATTTTGTTATTGATATATATATTGGTAACAAAATACACTTAGAATGACAATCTATATATAAAATACAAATAACTGCAAACATTTATATATAATTACATAAATAACTACATAAGTATACATGTAGAATTTAAATACACATATATATATTTATATATATATATATATAAATTCTACGTGTATGCTTAAGTAATAGTTTAACATAATTATGTGATTTAATTAATTAAAATTTGATTGACGTGCCTGACAACCCAGGCAGCAAGTGCAGAGAATTAAATTCGCACGCGCTATATTTAACCCTGTAACTTTCCAAGACACCATGAAACCTGTACATCGGGGTACTGTTTTACTTGAGAGACTTCGCTGAACACAAATATTAGTGTTTCAAAATGATATATTGTATTACAACGATGATATATTTAGTAAAAGTGAAGTTTTTTGCATTTTTCACACATGAACGGCACTTTTACGGACGATATTATTGTTGTAATATGTTTTACTGTTTTATAGTGTTTTGGAAAGTTAGAGAGTCAAATATAAGGCTTGCATTTCATTTTTTTCACATTGAAATTTGCCAGATTGGTTACGTTGCCTTTGAGAGCGTATGGTAGCCCAGGAATGAGAATTACCCCCATGATGGCATACCATTTGAAAAAGTAGACAACCCAAGGTATTGCAAATGGGGTATGTCCAGTCATTTTTAGTACCCACTTAGTCACAAACACTGGCCAAATATTCGATTTTTTGCTTTTTTCACACAAAAACAAATATGAATGCTAACTTTGGCCAGTGTTTGTGACTAAGTGGCTACTATAAAAGACTGGACATACCCCACTTGCAATACCTTGTGTTTTCTACTCTTGCAAATGGTATGCCATCATGGGGGTAAATCTCATTCCTGGGCTACCACACGGTTTCAAAGGCAACATAACCAACCTGGCGAATTTCAATTTGAAAAAACTGAAAAATGGAATGTGCTATATTTGACCCTTTAACTTTCCAAAACACCATAAAAACTGTTAATGGGGGCTACTGTTGTACTCGTGAGACTTTCCTAATATGTGGTTTTTTTTGCAGTTAAAGCTAACGGTATTATGACATTTACAGCTAAAATGTCTACAAAGTTTTAAAAAAATCTTAATTTCTCACGGTTTTTTAAAAAAAAATTCATAATAAATTATGTTTCAAATATGAATAGTTCATGAGAAATTAAATCCCAGTTTCTCCTGAACAAAATGATATATAATAAGTGTGGGTGCATTTAATATGAAAGAGGTGAATTACGGTTGAACAGACATATAGCGCAAATTCCAGTTTTTGTTTACATTTTGTTTTGATCAGAACATGTACTATTGACTCCGTCCTGAAGGGGTTAATTCTCTCTATTTTTTTTTTATCCATATTTCTCTTTTCACTCATCTTTATTATTGTATACTGCTGGAGGTAAGCCAATAGTCACCAACTATTATCAGGATAAAGCTTTATTGCTCTTCCCTTACTACATCTTATGACCCACCATCTTCACTATTTTCTAGCATGCCAACACAAGGAGTGAAATACCAAGATGCTCTACAATATAATGCTAAATGTTACTAATTTCTTTATAACAAAAAGACCCATATTAAGTAACCGTAATGCTTGTTATAATAGTAAACGCTAATAGACTTAAGCATAGTGAAAAGAAAACTCAGAACAGAATTTAGTCCATGCCATGGTTTGGTTTAGCAGAATTTTAGTATTGAAAGAAGTTCAGTCAACCAAAATAGCAGGAAAAAGGTGCCTGTGACTGTACTGGCATGCAAAAACGTTTATAATTCTCCTTGCCTAATGGCTACACAATAACATTTTTGCAATGCCAGTTCTGAGTTGCCGAAATTAGATTAAAAAAACAATAGGAATTTATAATGATTGTACTGATAGTAATAATTGTAATCTCTTTCCTTTTTCTATTTTGTATAAATTAAATAAAGGGATCAGGAGTCATTTTAAGTTGAAGGGGGATTCATCTAAAAATAAAAGGAAAAAGTTGGCAAAATTTCCCTAGATATGTTCATTCATTATTAGACAAACTGAATTTTGTCTGAATTTCAGAAGCTTCCAAATTTGGCAACATATTAAATTAGCGGAAACAAACATTTTCTTAACAAAATGATACAAACATTTTCGTATACATTCATTTTCATAATGATAGCAAATTAGGGACTAATCTATTAAGTAACTGAAAGAGCAAATTTAGGAAAAGGGGCTTGTCTTATGTTCCTCTTTCAGCTGTTTAGTAGATAGTTACATAGGCTGAAAGAGACTTGCATCCATCATGTTCAGCTTTCCTCACATCTTTTTTTGCGGTTAATCCAAAAGAAGGCAAATAAAAAACCCAGTTTGAAGCACTTTCCAATTTTGCAACGAACTAGGAAAAAATTCCTTCTTGATCCCAGTATGACAGTCCGATCTCTCCTTGGATCAAGAAGCTCATTTAAGGATAGCTCTTCTAATAAGGTACCCTGATGTGGGGTTCCCATACTTAGGATACCAAATTATGGTGCTATTTAGTAGATTTTTTGGGGGGGAGGGAGGAATTGTTCTCCTGTTGTGCTGGGCATGGAAAGTGATGTCCTCTGACTTTGAAAACCACTATGTTGGTTTGGCAGCAATTTTTACCCCAGCACACCAGTTTGCTAAAGGTTTGAATTTTTCCTTTTCTTTAAAAAGAAGAAACGCAATCTGACGTTCTTTATGAAAAATAAACATTTATTTTACTCCAAAATCAAACAGAAGTCCATTTGTAAAAACTTAACAGATGGTACTTCTTAATGATGTTATAAAGAGAGGGATCTTTGGTGGTCAGTAATCGTCTTTGTATCAGCAAGTCAGGGGCACACATCAATAGAAAGCATGGTAATTTGTCTACTGTTCTTTTATAGACAAAATGACATGAAATGAAAGGTAATGACCTTTAACTAAAGCACTAGCCAAGGACAAGACCCTCAATCGCCATATTCCAGAGTTCATGGTATAAAACAGCAAACTATCTGTTCTTTTTAACCCATTAAACATTCATACCCAATAAGTATACAAATAGGAACATAGAATATGTAATATTCTACATATTCTGAGTTTATATTCTTATTATTCATT